CCCGCTGGAAAACGGTCTTCCTCCCTGTCCGTCTGCCTCCCTCTTTTTGTGGTACTCAGATGTAAATCCAGGGCCTTTGTGTTGAGCTACATCCCCGGTGTTACTTATTTTAATGTATTTGGTACAGGGACTCACTACACAGCTTGACTCATAGTGATCCTCCTGTTTTCAGCCTCCCCAGTGCTGGGACTACAGACCTGTGCCATCATGCCCAGTCTCTGTGGCCAGCTCAGCATGCCTGGGGTGGGGCCAGCGTGGCATGTGGTGCCTGGGGTCGAACCCTGGTCCCTGCGCTTGCCTAAGCGGGCGCTTAGTCTGCTGAGCTATCTTGCTGACCCAGTGTTTTTTTAAAAAATTAAAGCAGGATCTTGCTAAGCTGCCCAGGCTGGACTGGAATTTGTGATCTTTCTGCCTCAGCCTCCCAGACTGCTGCAGTTATAGGCACCACCATGTCCAGCATGAAGTTGTGGGGTTTTTTGTCTTTTTGAGACGGCTCACTGTGCAGTCCAGGCTGGCTTTGCGCTCACATAGTAGCCCAGTCTGGTCTCAAACTTGCAGTGATCCTCCTGCCTCTGTCTCCCCAGTGCTAGGATTATGGGCCCAATCCTATTTCTGACTTATCACTTGGGCCCAGAGTGGGGAGCTGGGGTCCATTTCGGGGGCTTTCAGGTGGCTTTTCTGACCCCGGACCTTTCTTCTATAGGCCACAGGCCATTGCGAGGACTGCGCAGTAGAAAGTGCGTCTGCCTGTCACCTTTCCTGCTGTGCTGCTCGGGCAGCAGCAGGTGCCAGGCGTGGTGGCGCACGCACACCTGTAACCCCGGTGCTGGGGAGGCTGGGGCAGGAGGCCCCCTGTAAGTTCAAGGCCAGACTGAATGGCACAGTGAGACTGTCTCCCAAGAGAGGGCTTCTAGAGGGAGGTACGCAGAGGCTGACCCAGCATCGGTGAGCGAGTGGACTCCTGTTGTCCAAAGTTGTTTTTGGAAGAAGTGAGCCGCATCTTCTCAGGCCCCATCCTGACCCCACACAGGTGCAGTCGGGCAGGAATGTGGCGGTGGGCTGCCGGAAGGGCAGGTGAGGCCGGTCCAGCCTCCCCCCGCATCCCAGTGTGGCTGTCCTCTGGGCGCCGTGGGTTTGGTGGGCTGTGACAGTGAAAGCAATCCGGCTCATGCAGAGGGCCCTGGATGCTCGTGATTGGCCGGGGAGCCTGGTGGCCAGGTCACCAGAGTGGGGTGGGGGTGGGGTGAGGACTTTCTGGAGGCTCCTTTGTTCTGCAAAGCGCAGGACTAGACCTTAATTTTTCCTTTTTGATGAAAGTTGCTTTACAAATACTAAAAAAAAAATTTTTTTTCAGACAAGGTCTCAATACACAAGGGGCTTGCACGTTAGCTCAGTTGTTTAAAGTGCCTGTTTGGGCAAACCCAGTCAGGCACAGGGGACTGTGGTTTGATCTCCAGCTCCACGTGCCCCACCACACCGGCTCTCAATGCACCTCGAGCCAGCCAAAAGAAAAAGAAAAAAAAAAAAAGGGTCCTTGTCAGTGTGTAGCCCAGGCTGGCTCAAACATGCGGCAGCCTTCTGCCTCCGCCTCCTGAGGGCTAGGTTACAGGCGTGGCCTCCGTGCCCGGCTGTGTCATCATACTTGCAGTTGTGTGGTTTGGTGGCACTGAGCCCTCCCACTGCTGGCAGCCATTACTGTCCACCTCCAGGACGACCCCTGAGCCTGTCTGAAGCTCTGTCCCCATCGGTCGTGTCGTTCGCTGCCTGTCGGGCATCTGCCTCCCTTGTTCACTGTCCTGCTTTCCACCTCGGAGCCCCAGGCTACTCGGGGGTCTTCCAGAGTGCAGTCCACCTATCTGGGCTTCTCCGGCCCCTCGGTGCCTGCCTGTGTGTGCCGCATCCCTTCCCTGGGGCTGATGTGGACACCACGTGGTCCTGCGTGGCCACCGCGTGCATCCGATTGGAGTCTTCTCAGGTGCAGCTCTCATCCCTCCCGTCATCCGGGGTCCTCATCTCTCCAGTCTGAACCCCCAGTGGGGCCGCTGCATCCATTGCTAACTGCAGGTCCAACTTGGGGCACTGCGATCGTGTCCCCTGCGGTGTTCAGAGCTCCAGGGGTGTGGGCTGGGCGCCAGCACTCACCACAGCCACCCCTTGGGTGTGCCCCAGTGTCATTGGGTGTGGCTGTGGTCCTGGGGACAGCCCAGGGCCTTGTATGGAGTGACTGCCACACCCAGTGTCAGGATGCATTTGCCCTTTCCTTCTAGATTTACAGTTTTAGGTCTTTCATTGTGTGTCAAGCTAAATTTTGTACGTTGGGTAAGATGCAAACGTCCTGCTTCTGCTTGTGGACATCCGGGGTCCTCAGCACACTTGACCTTTCTCGGCATGCCTTGCCCCCTGGAGTGCTTCCCCGTATGTGTAAGGGCTGATTTCTAGGCTGTCTGTTCTGTCCTACTGGTCCTTTGGTCTGTCCTGTGCTGGTGCCACAGGCGAGGACTTCTGTGTCTTTCTTCATCACACTGTGTAGCCCCAGCTGGCCTGAGCCTCGCAGCCATCCTCCTGCCTCAGCTTCCTGAACGCTGGGATTACAGGTGTGCGCCCCCTCGCCTGTCGTGCTTGAGCATTTTATATGATTACATTTATCTCTTGTCTTACCATATTCTACTTATTTTAAAATTTTTAGTGGTTGCTTTAGGGTTTTTAATAAATTTGGCAATCTGAATTCTCTTTCAGATTATTTCTATTTTGCCTCCATGGTAGCGCAGTGTCACATAACTGTGTCATATAACAGGTTGGGTGTTTCTCTGCCGGAAATGCTTGTGACTGGAAGTAGTTCTGATTTCAGAATTTTTCAGATTTTGGAATATTTGCATTGGTTTTACTGGTTGAGTGGCTGTAATCTGAAAATTCAAAATCTGAAACATTTTATTTTTTATTTTTCAGACAGGGTGTCACAATGCAGTTCAGGCTGGTCTTGAACTCACTCTGTAGCCTAAGATGGCCTGAAACTTGCAGTGACCCTGGGATCCTGAGTGCCTAAGCAGGCACTTAGTCTGCTGAGTTCTCTCGCTGGCCCCAAACAAATGTTTTGATTTGAGTAAATTGTACAGACTTTAATTTTTATTTATTTATTTTTGCGGTGCTGGGGATTGAACTCGGGACCTTCCACTTGCCGGGCAGGCACTACCAGGCTCCACTCTTGTGACCGGCTGGGTAAATGAATTAATCACTAAATAAGGAATTGTAAGTGGTATGTGCACTACAATATTCGGAACAAAGCAGCGCTCAGCAGAAACTCCCTCCTGACGGCGGCCTTGCTTTCGCGCGCGTCCGCTCAGCCGCAGTCCTGCAAAGGGCGGCACTGCACTGTGCAGCCCATCAGCAAAAACGCAGTGCCTGCCGGGAAGCAGGGCACGCCGGCCCCAGGAGGCCCGAAGGCGCGCACAGGACGTACAGAGCTGCACAAAGATGGGCCATAAATCCAAACAGTTGTTAAACGGGTAGATTATTAAACAAGGACTATCTGGGAGGACTTTCTTGGGAGGCTGAGGCAGAAGGATGGCAAGTTTGGGGCAAACCTGGGTAATTTAGAGAAAACCTAGCTCAAAAGGAAAATGAGCATTTGGCCTGGGACTGCGGCTTAGACGTAGCACACTTGCTTGCTGTGTGTAAGGCCCTATGTTCAACCCCAGGACGAAAAATAAATACCCTGTCTGATTGTTTTGGATTCGGGCTGCTTGCCCAGGTCCTCAGTTGCCTGACAGATTAGGAGGAGTTGCTGCTGATTTTCAGCAGGGAGGGTAGGAGTGGCAGCCCCGAGAGACCACACACCAGACCAGAAGCTGGAGAGCCTGCCTCTTTTTCTGTAGAGAATTTAAATTGTGAATTTGTGAGTGGCTGAGAAGCGCTGAGTGCAAGAATTGTGCTCTTAGGGAGAGATTAGTAATTTATTTAAAAAAAAATCCACACAGTTAAAAATGCTAAACTGGGCATTGTGGCATATACCTGCAGTCTGGAAGGCTGAGGCAGGAGGATCCCTAATACTTCAAGGCCATCATAAGCTGCATAGTGAGACCCCACCTCAAAGAGATGAAGCGGAGCCAGGTGTGGTGGTCTGCATCTGTAATCCCAGCCCTAGGGAAGTATCCCAAGTTAAGCCTAGCCTGGGCAATTTAAAAACTCAACAACAAGACCCTGCCTCAAAAAATCTACAGGAAAGTGTAGCTCAGTGGGAAGGCTCAGAGTTCAAAACAACAGTGACAGTGACAATACCTTGCGGGAAGTTCACTTCTCAGGGCTGGAGAAGTCGAGAAATCTAAGAGCAAGGAAGGGCTGACATGACTTTCTTGGAGTACCACCTTGTGGCAGGGTGGGTGAGGGATCGGTGGGGCAAGAGGAGTAGGGCTGGCTTTTCCCAGGGATCCAGGCCAAGACACTGAGCGCTCTCTGCCCTCACAGACGAATCCTCAGATCTTCGCTTTCTTGAGCTCTCACGGGGGCACTCGGGGTCCAGCTCAGCACACCCCTGGCAGCATGCTCAGACAGAGCCTGGCTCTGGCACTTCGTTTTTCCTGGCTGTGGTAGCTTCTCAGCTTCTCAGCTGTGTGATTTCATGGTTTATTTAATTTGGGTTTTTGAAACCAGGCTGCACTTTGTACCTCAGGCTGGCCTTGAGCTCTGAGTAGCCCGGCCCTGCTACTCTCAGTGACCCTCTCGCCTCAGCCTCCTGAGGGCTGGGGCTTCAGGCGTGAGCCATGCTGTCCACGTGCCCTTGGGTTCAGCCCCCACACGGTGATCAGGAAACCGCCACCATCCACACGCAGGCTCAGCAAAGCCAGCCCCAGCACGGCATGGCAAGAGGCTGCCCTCGGCCCCAAGTCCCCTGTGAGGATCAGCTCCATGTCCTGGCAGAGCTGGGTGGGGACCCCGGGCTGGGTGCCACGGCGGCAGTGGTGGTGGCAGGTCCCCACCTCACACACCTTTTGTCCCCTCTGCAGTACTTAGGTCAGCTGACGTCCATCCCAGGGTACCTGAACCCCTCCAGTAGGACGGAAATCCTGCACTTCATAGACAAAGCCAAGGTAACCCTGCTGCATGCTCTGCCCCTGGCCATCAAGGCCTCAGTCCCGTGGTTTGGGACTCATCCTGGGAGGAGGACCCTGTTCTGCCACACTATGGGTCCATGTGGCTCTGGCCACAAAACTGTTCTTCAGTCAAACATAAGCGTGTGTGGTATGGGGCTGTTTCCACATTTCACAATCTCAAGTTATTCCAGACCATGTACCGTAAGTTGGAATCTGAACTGGGCATGGTGTGCACACCTGTCATCCCAACACTCAGGAGGCTGAGGCAGGAGGATTGCCATGAGTTCTAGGCCAGCCTGGGCTACTTAGTGAGACCCTGTCCTTCACAGCATGCCCACCAGCTCCCAGGACACTTGACGCAGGAGCATGACGCCGTGCTGAGCCTGTCCGCCTACAACGTCAAGCTAGCCTGGCGGGACGGGGAAGATGTCATCCTCAGGGTGCCCATCCACGACATCGCCGCTGTCTCCTATGTGCGGGATGATGCCGCGCACCTAGTGGTGCTGAAGACAGGTGCGGGCTGAGTGGGTGTGGGGTGGCCAGGAGGCCCTGGTTCTGAGCTGTAGTTGGCAACAGCTTCTGCAATGCGGTGTTGGGTGCCAGGGTGGGGTGGTGCTGGTGCTGTGGCCCTGGGCCTGTGTCATACACACTGTAAGTTGGTGCCTGGGCAATGGAGCCTGGGGGGTTGACCCTGGAGGAGCATTGGTTTGTGTCCCCAGAGTCTGGACGGCAGGGACTCTGGCCTTCATGGGTGGTGTCTCTCACCCCCTGGAGTCCTTGGCCTGGCATTTAAGCCCCTGAGGAAGGGAGAAACTGTGTCACACTGCCCCTGTGGGCTGAGGCTGGGATCACCCCCAGGACGCTGGACCACCACAGTGGTACCAGGGTACAAGGGATGAAGTGCAGGAGACAGGATTCCCTCAGGGCATCAGTAGTCCTTAAGGGGAGCGGTCAGGTTCAATCTTCTTGGCGAGCCCCCAAGGCCTTGCAGCTTCCCACCAGGCCCCATCTCCCAGGAGTGGCACCCAACACCCCACTTCAGCACCCCTGGGGACACTCCACATCTGAGCCATAGTACCGTCTCCCTTCATGGTGTTTAATACACTGTCACTATTGAACCATTTTAATCTCTAAAAATGGCAATTTGTATGGCTCAGAGCAGCCTGTTGCACTGGCATGAATTCTCTCATTTGACCTCTAAATCTGGCACGCCCCCCGCCCACGCCCCGTGGACTGACTGAGGCCTAGGAGGGTGGGGCTGGGCCAGTGCCTGCAGCCACGCGAGCAGGGCTGTCTCTCCGCCCTTGCGACTCACAGGGGAGGGACCTGGCCCACTGGCTCGGGGTGTCTGGCAGGTGGGGGGCACCTTCCTTTGTCTCACTGCCACTCGGGAGAGCAAGAAGGGACCCCGGCCTGGGCGGGAGCGGCGCCCTTGGCTGTGACACACTGCTGTCCACAGCACAGCTGCCCAGGCCCAGGCTCAGAAGCATGTTCTTTTTGTAGTTGAGTTTATTGGTCCGATTGGGATATACATAGTGATGACATTCATCTAGGGATTTTTTTTGTTTTGTTTTGGTCTTTCTGAGACTTAGTCTCAGGGTCTCATTTTGCATCTCAGAGCTAGCTCTGTAGCCCAGGCAGGTCTTGAACTCCCAGCGATCTTCCTGCCTCAGCCTCCCAAGTGCTGGGGTTACTTGGGTGTGCCACCATGCCCAGCCAGCACAGGGAACTTGCACATGATATAGCTTGAGTCCTCTTTTTCCAGTCGCCTCCTCCATTAAACCTCTCCTTTCCTCTTTGTTAACAAAGCTTTGTTTGCACTTCTTTCCGCTTTTCTCATGTTTGTTTTCCTTGTCCCTTTCTTCTTCCTTTGCCCTCCCTCCTCCCTGGTTGCACTTCCCACGTGAACATTTTCCTCCTGTTTCACATCTGTCACACATCTCGGTCCTGGTCTACACCCTCAGCCTGTCACACCAGAGAGACCATCTCGGTCCTGGTCTACACCCTCAGCCTCTCACACCAGAGAGACCAT